ATTTGGGTTGAATGAAACAAAATTCATAAAAATCAAATGAAATGTTACTTTTAATGCACTGTTTGGAACTTTTGGTGTAGTGATGAATATTACTGAAGTTTTTCTCAACAACAAACCGATATTTCAACACCTCGACACGTATTTCGATCGCCAAGTGGTCATCTTCAAAAGGAAGATATACTTACAATAATTTTCCTTATTTATACCATAGATACCTCTTCTAGTTACCTGCGCCATTTTTTAAAAACTACGAAAACCAAGATAAATATATCCCAGTTCCATACTACCAATACACGAAAAACGTTGAAAACATTTTCAAGGAATTACGTATGAAGATGGTTTTTGAAGCAAGGTATACACTGCAGAGCCTTAGGAAATCCAAAAGACAAAGTCGAGAACTCTGAGAAGTCTGAAATTCACGAAATTAAATGTAAGGACTGCGATTATGGACAGATAAAAAAACTATTAAAATAAGATATAAAGAACACTTAACACACCTAAAATATGGAAGACCAGAAAAGTCAGCAGTTGCTCATCATATTTTGCAAGAAAATCATTCCATAGACTTTAGTTCATTAAGATTAGTTAGACAAGTTTAGAACAACAGGCATTTATATGCCTATATGAGAGTGTAGACATAAGAATATTATGACTAACGATGGTGGACCAATGCCTTATAGTATACTATATAGCTTGTTAAAATAAAAGTTCAATTAATTATTAGATTTACCTATTACATAAGGACATTTAAGACTAGTGGATAGGACAATATTTTGAAATTCATTTGAGATAACTTCTACGCAGGTACCTGGAAGAAGTATCTATGGTATAAATAAAAATAATTGTTGTAATTATATTTAGTTTGAACTTTCTCTTGAAGATGATCACTTGGTGATCGAAACACGTGTCGAGGTGTTGAAATAATGGTTCGGTGTTGAGAAACAATTCCAGTAATATTCAAGTAAAATGGTGATGACGTGCAAAAATTGTGTTACCCACACATTTAGATTTCCAGTTGAAAGTTTCCATACAGTGACGATTTTCAGTCTGACTTGGCAGAATCTACCGCAGCTCGAATCAGTTTCCCGAATCTTTGGTCCACTTTTTGTTTACTGCTCGAGAGCAGTGTGATATAAACAAATATGAAATATTTGTTTGAAGGTGGTTGACAATGTTTCGTGGTGTATTTCATCAGTTCGGACTTCCATTGTCTAATATAATATAAATTGATTTGAAATCCCTGAAAAAACTAAAAATATTAACCGGAAATAACAATTTTATTAAACAAAATACTGAAATTACAAGGAAATAACATACAAGCAACANCTCAAATATCATTGCATGAATGACTATAAGATTCAAAGTTGGATGTAATTTTTCTATTGTATTACGTGAGTAAGTGTGAAAACAATGTCTGAAATAGAGAAATTTGAAGATTTATTGAAGAAACATATAGGGGAAAATAATGATATTGTGGATGTAAAGATCGAGAATTTGGTAGCTCCAGGGGAAAATTTTGGGGGAGAACTTCTAAAACTAGAAATCATTACGCGAGATAAAGAAAAAGGAACAGAAGTAAATTACCATGCAGTAGCAAAAAAAATTCCTACTAACGAACTTTTCCAAAAGATTTTCAATATTCAACAAACATTCAAAGGTGAAATAAACTTCTACGACAAAGTTGTACCAGCCCTTCAAAACTTTCAGCGTGAAAATGGAGTCCAGAATGTACTGAATTGTTTTGCAAAATTATACGGAGCTAGAATAAATTTGGACGAGAACAGTGAGGTTGTTGATAGAAACGCTGTAATTGTGTTGGAGAATTTACAACGCTCAGGTAAGAATCTTCACCAATTATGAAAATCACATCTGAAAATATTACTTTCTAGCTCATTATTTTCTTCGGGTCATCATTGAAACCATATGTTCGTCTTCAATCATTGCGGTTACAGTTGAAGTTGAAGACTTACATTGTCCAAAAATTGAGTAGTGCTTTTGTACTAAATTCAGTAGGTACATTTATAACCTTGAAATACTTTCAATATCCCGTTGAATGTTTTTGTACTTTTTCATTTTCGCCATGATGTTCATCAGATCAGTCCAACTTTTCAGATTGGCACCATGGAATAACTCGCTAAGTGGACTTTGGAACCTCTGATGTGAAATGAATCTATTAAAAATACTTTTTTCTCACCAGTATTTTCAATGGATGCAAAACATTTGTTATTTTTTACATTAAATCATTCTCACATGTTTCCTTACACATTTCCATGTTGGATTGTTGTTGTTGAATTGAGTTATGAAATCAATGAAAAGCTGTAACTATAGCAAGAGAAAGGGTGAACTCATGTTGAATCTATCAATTATTCACGGATTCGCTAATTATATTTCTCGTTCACACAAAAGGGTTTTTAAAAACTTTTTATTTGAACAGAGTAACAACTAATAACTATGAAATATAAGTACTGGCTATAACAAATCAATTGCACCTATTTATATATAAATTATTGCCGACTTTGCAGATATCAGCAAAATAATTGATGTCGTCTTCGGGTCATCGAACAATATCCTGCTGATGTAAGGGGTTATCGAACTGTAACT